CGGAGTTGGTTAAAAAAAAGTGTGTATTCCCTTTTCCTTTTGGGAACATGATTAGGAGATGGAGTTCGTCTGGTTCTATTTCCTTCGCCTTATGTGCTACTGCGGTTTCTCTTTTACTAAATTTTTGCTTCCAGACCACATCTTGCCCTAGCTGACAATGGAAAATGAACTGAAATCAAAGGAATTGACACATTGACCTTCCATTTTTTATATTATTTTATTAATTTATGAATAAAATGTTCTTAACAAAGATTTCTATTGTTCTCTGGTTCGACAACAATTAAATTGGGTTTTTTACCAATTAAATTGGGTTTTTTACCAATAAGAATTAGAATTTTAAACTCACTTGGCGGTCAACGTCTAGTTGACCTAAGAGGACCACCCTAAAAGGGCATTTCCAAAACGACGGACACCAACCAGCGGATAATGTTGGTCACGTCCGTCGACTTAGCCCAAAGGGCCAAGTTTTTGACAACCGAAACCAAAAACTTCACAGAAGTCTTGGAGTCCATTGCCGCACAAAACCAGAAGAATTGAACTGAGTTTAGTTTTTATAAGAAATGATTAGTATTACTAATTCTTTGCAAATCGGTGTGGGATGTGATGCGTTTTGATGTCAAAAAATCAATATATTGGGTTGGCTTGGCTTGGCTTTGTTTTAGTGATTGAAGTTTGCTAAAATTATTTTCACTCTAATCAAACCTATTATTATTGTGTTAAAAAAAGAGCCTATAAATACGTAAAATTTAATTAATCAATAAATTATTAAAGTCATTTACCAAATCATCCTTGAATGTATTTTTTCAATATTTTTGATGTTATAGCCATGCAAAATCTATTCATAGTGATCAGACTGCGTACATCCGATCCACCATACCCCGTAATAGGCGAGAGCAAGTGAGACACTGGGTTAATGTTGTTCTACAGTATCTATTCATATAATAACTTTTAACGCCGTTCTGTGTTGGTAAATATAGTAAGCATATAGATGATTCTCCTCCCTCGTGTTAGGTGACTAAAATTTATATGATTCTCACTTGGGTTACTTGAACATGTTGAGTATCTTTTCTTCATTAGATGTTTCTACCAACAGGGTTATTTAAACAGTTAAATTAATTAGTCCTTAGAAGAGAACACTGCTAGGCATTTTGTATTCGTGTGATTGTCAATTAAACATAATATACCATATTGATGTATTGAACTTAAGAATATATTTTCCATAAGATACATATTATTGATACAAATGAGGAGGTTGATGACTTAACTTTTTGACAGCCTACGCATGAGATTAAAAAGGTACAAGGTCAAATGTCATGCATGCATGCAGAAGTTAACAATGAATGGATGCTTTTTAATATCAAAAATACTAGGGGTACACCAAATGGGGTACCCCATTTGTACCCCCTCCATCTCCACCACACAAAGGTAAGAGAGGAAAATAAAAATAAAAATGAAAAAAGAAATGTAGGGCTATGATGAGTGGTGTACAAATAGGGTACCCCAAATGGTGTACCCCAAGCATTCCTCTTTTAATATCCGTTATATGCATATTTGTCACTCAAGTTGGGAAAGCAATAAAGCATGCAAAAACAAACATGGATTACACTAGGTTTATGATGTTTCATGAGCTATTATTTAGAACAATAAAATCTTGGAACTAGACTCTATTAATCAGGGCCGGTCTCGAGAATTTTGTGGTCTTGGATAAGACGAAAAATATAGGCCCCTGCCCTAACAAATTAAATTATGTAAACTATTTTTTTGGTTGCTTTGATACCATATCAAGGAACCCATTCAATCAAAAGCTCAAGTTTGTGGTTGTGGCATAGGAATAGTTATTTATATTCTAACACGCCCACTCACGTGCAGGCGTAATCTTTTTTCAGCCTTGCACGTGAAACTTTAATTTTTTTAAACTAGGTGGCGCTGAGTTTCGAATCCGTGACCTCTTAGTCAACAAGGCTCTGATACCATGTAGAAGCCGTGCGTTTTAGAGACGGAAGTAAAACCACAACTTTATTCTTGTGTGTTATTCTTTTACAAGAGACTTCCCTTTTATCTATAGGAAGGAGAAATAACCCAAGTGCAATAGGAAAAGAATTCTCACAAGTAAGGAAACAAAGATGGCAAAGAAAACATAATCAAAATAGGAGACCAACTTCCTTCTGGTCTGTTGGTGTCGTGCGTGTAGCCCTGATCCCCAAGGCGGCGTAATATTATAATAATACACATAATAAAATTATAATATACTGGGTATTATAGTTAAATATCGTAAAAGCTACCTTAAAAAAGTAAAAAAAAATATTAGACCCCTGGGCTTGGACCGATAGGGCACCTTGGCCTACCCCTGGGCCGGCCCTACTTTTCATAGGAAGGAGGGAATATTTAGATATTCAAAAAACATACACCTTAATTTTTAATATCTAAACTTTAATATCTGTTCTCTAAATTATCCCCATTAATTTATAAGTACACTACAAAAAAACCGCGTAATTGGCACAGAAATATAGGCACGGACGTTCTGTGCCTTCACAGAGGAAAAAATTTATGCCACGCGTCGCTATTTAATACGCAAAGGGTGTTGGCTCTGGCTTTTCCGTGCCTAAGTCCGTGCCAATACCGTAATGCTAAAACCGTCACCGGCTTCACTCGACGACGTTAAGTCCAAAACACAGGCACGGAAACCGTAATGCTCTTAGATTTTATCCAACATTGGTTGATGGTTAATTATATGGAATGAGTTCCATAGCCTTTGGGCAGAAGAGTTATTAAGACCATGTTCTTAATTTAAAACTTAAAAAAACAGGTCAATGTTGGAAAAAATGGGAAGAAACTGGAAAAAACTAGAAGAAACTCGAAGGACGAGAAAAAATTAGATGAAATTAGAAAAACTAGAAAAAATTGAAAAATATAAAAAAAAAATTTAAAAAATTATTTTAGTATATTTTTATATTATTCTCATTCTAATTATTGTTTTTATAATTCATTATTTTTATTATCATCATCATCATCATTATTATTATCACGCTATCTTAATGAATGTCTTTAAGATAAAAAAGTATTTTTATTTTTCATACACAAAACAAACTACTTTCACAAAAAAATTAATCAGAATATAACGTTATCATAAATATCAAAAGTTAAGTTTTAAAAGGTTATTGTGGTTACGTTACACCTCAATTTATTTATGTAGTATTTATTATAAAATAAGATATTTGTAATTATACTTTATACTCCTAAATTTTGTTCTAAATATCATACAGTTCGTATAATGTAATCAAACTTATTTATTTCTTTCATAATTGACACTTTATTTTCATTGTATCTCTTATTTTTGGAATAAAGACATAGAACTCTTATTTTTGTATTTTTTATGTTTTACTCCTACTTATGTGTTTTTCTCTAATGCTTCGTATATTTTTGAATTTGAATTTTTTTACACTTTTTGAGTCATTTTTTCTTTTTCAAAATGTAGTTCTCCCTTGGTTTTCATAATGTTGCACTCCCCCCATTCCATTATTATTTTTTGGCTTAAAATATTGATGTTTTCCTCATATAAATTTTGATTAATAAAGCATATTATGTAACTATTTTATCCATAATTTTTTAAAATATTGTTGTTTTCCTATTTTATCATGTATATATATTAATATACAAAAAATTGTATCATTCATATTAAAAAGTTGAAGAAAAAATAATAATGAGTGTGAATCGTAAAAATAGTGAAATGAAAAAATGAAATAGTTTATAAACTATGAACATAATATAAGTAATAATAATAATAATTACAATAAAAATATATCACTTTCAGAGTAATTATTGGTTGTGCAGTAGAAAAAGTTTGAAGAAAATGAGAATAATTAGAAAAAATAGGAAGGAAATGGAAGGAACTGGACTGGAAAAAACTAGAAGGACTTAAAAAAACTGAAAGAAACTAGAAATTAAGAGTTTAAATTCTAAATAACAGGTTCCAAGTGTTTATTTTTGTCTAGGTAACCGTTTCACAAATATATTAAGGAGTACATTATTAAAAGTTGAAATTTGTTGATCAGTTGTGAATTGACCTAATTCATAAAACATTATTAAGCTTCTTGTTCCATTTTTCACACATCTATTACACAAGTAAAAAAAGTAAAATTACTTGGGGATCAATTGTGAATTGACCTAATTGGAACTCCCCTTAAGAGCATGGGCAATGACAAGTAACGAAATGGAATGCCACACGTTGACGTGGCACATTTCAACCAATAAAAGACAATCCAGTCAGCATGTGGCAAGTGAGTGGAGAAGCATCTCGTACAGTGGCAAGTCATTGTTTTTATCAATTTTTATGGTTTTTTAAAGCATTTTAATTATTAAAAATTATTTCATTTATCTTTTTTATATAGATGTACTCTTTTTTTAAAAAAATTATTTTTCTAAAAAATAAAAAAAATAAAAAAAAATTGAGGATGCCTCGCGCCTCACACGCTTGGCGTGGAGGGAGGCTGAGCCACGCGAGGCAAAAGTGGCGAGGGAGCTGATGTGTCGCAGCGAGCGAGGAAATGCCTTGCCGCTTCGCATGCTCTAAACGAGAATTCCCCGAAGTAGCCAAAAAGTTTTTAACAAATGACAGTTTGACACCATGAACCACTTATTACAAACAAAATAATTGAAGTAACTCGGTAATTCATCATTGATACGTAATTACGTTTATTATAGTTTTATGCAATCCCAATGTGTGTTTAACACTTTAACTTAAATACTTCGCATTTGAATTGCGGCCTTTGAATCTTTTGGCAGCATTATTCCTCAAACTTGAATCCTCTTAAAAAAAATATTCCAAACACGAACATTAATTGAAATCGTTCTTTTTAACTAAACGTACAAGTCCATTACACCCATAGAAAGATACTCCGTAGAATATATAATATTCCCGAGAGTAGAGAACTCATCGTATCACAATTCTACAAAAATGCCTTTAAATAATGGAAAGAAAGAATAATTAACAACATTAAACGCAATCCTACAAAGCATTATTAGTTTCAAAGCACAAAATAATGAATTGTAAGTAAATTTAGAAATTTATTTTTCGGAAGAAAAACCTAAGATTCTTAGAGTCCCATAATAGTTCAATAATGTCCCCTTCCTTCAAACCCCTCCTCTCCACAAAGGCTACCCGCCAATTGCTTGTGAGCACATAGCTTCCACTGCGCCACTGTTTGAAAACCAACTTGCATTCTGAGCGGGTGTCCACGTCACACATCTTCACCTTCAGCCCTTCAAGGCTATGACACTCTCCACGTTGCTCTTGGCTGAGGGAAGGGAGCACGTACTTGTTCACAATCTCCTCTTTTGACACCAATAACCTCGACGATGTGTTCACATCGCTGTCTGTTAGCCTCTTCCTGACCCACCGCGAATTATTGAATCTCTCCGGCACTCGCCGGCCTACCAAATTGATGGCCAAATTTGGGATTTTCTCATCATGATCATTAGTGTCGCTATGATTGTCGTTACAGGGTGGTGATGGGTTCTTGTTTGGGAAGAGATCAAGTAGTTTGGGAGAAGGGTTTGAACGTGGGGGGCACGGCAGCAGCGTGAAGGTGAATTCTCTGAGGCATGGGGAAATTTGTCCTCTTGGAGTTGGGGATGGAGAGAGGTTAAGGTCGGTGGAAAGAGATTGTTCTACTGCTGTGGAAGGTGTTGATGGCTCTTGGGAGAGTAATGGGGTAGGGCACAAGAAGGTAAACATGTTTTCAACTTTTGATGATGAGTAGTAAATAATCATGTAGTAGTGTTATTTATAGATGGGAGTTGAAATAATGTAATCCTAGTTCCAAATTGGATCAGGAGAAAGTAAATGCCTCGATTTGGAAACAAAGTGCCTCTTAAACTAATTGCCCACGAACACAAATCTTTAATGGCGAGGGAGTCTTGTCCGATATTGGTTTGGTTTACCCATCCATTTTTGGAAGTTGCTCTATTTGGGGGGGGGGGGGGGGGGGCC